CTTTCTACGCTTCACCCACCGGATCCGTCACCTGGGCTTTTCTTTTTTTTTTTTTAAATTTTTTAATTTTTTTTTCTTTTTTTTTTCGATATTATGTGTTGAAAGTGTTCAATGGGACACCGTTCTGACCTCAGCAAACACCCGACGGCCTGCTGCCCAGCCACCCGTTTCACCCCTCTCTCGTTACACACGTGTGCTCGTGTTGATGTTTTTTTTAATGTATTTATTTTATTTATACCATCTCTTGTCGGCTTTGTAGCGTTAAATAACAGCCCAGTGAACCACACGATTTTTAATAACATAGTGAATGTCCTAGTAAGATTTGCGCGAGAGAAATTAGACTTATTGACAACCGACTCCCGACACGGACTCGTGATCCGGTCCTGTGACGTCATCAACGGGTTGATTTTTTTTTTTTTTTTTTTTTTTTTTTGTTTTTTTTTTTTTTTTTTTTGGGGGGGGGGGGGGGGGGGGGAAATCAATCAATGATATATATTGCTTCCCACTGATTAGTGCAACAGATTGTCATGATTCAAATTTAGTGAAATTTGAACCATGTACACAGAATATGTTTATACAATAGAACTCGGTTATGTCGACGGCCTCGGGGTTTGCGAAAAAGCGTCGAGATATCCAATAATCGAGATAACCGAAAACTAGTATAGTGGCAATAAATTAAAAGACGTTTGACTATATCAGGCATTCGGCAAGGTGATAATCACGATGTTGGACACTGAGCCATGGACTTTTGACAATAGTATGTGCATATGAAATGTGAGAGGATCGGCTCCCTAACCCAGACACGGCGACTGTGTCTACCAGACTGATAAAGAAGTTAGAGGGAGGGACAAGGACATTTGACTATCTCGAGCAAAGCGGTTGAAACGTTTAGACCAAATGTGTCAAACTCAAGGCCCGCGGGCCACATTCGGCCCACCGTACAATAGTATCAGGCCCGCGAGGTCTTGGCCGGCGTACACGTATATCCAAGACAACTCTATGGTGTTTCCCAACTGAAAAACTTAGCTTACTTCGCGCCGAGTTCGCACGGCGCTACAGTGACTTTGAAGCACAGAAATGTAATTTCGAGCTGTTTCGTAACTCATTTTGCATAGACGTGGGAACTGGACCTGTAAATTTGCAGATGGAGCTAATAGAGCTGCAGTGTAATGGGACACTAAAGGCTAAAGACAAAGACATGCCCCAGCTTTGTCTACATGCGGCTCGAACCTTGAGCATGTTGGGTAGCAACATATTTCTGTATTTCTGTGAGCTGCTGTTTTCTGTGATAAAGATCAACAACACATCACACAGGACTCGCCTCGCGGATGAACACTAGCTATCCATCATGAGAATCTCAATGACACAGAACGTTACTCGCAACGAAATTACGGCAATTGCTTTTGAAGCCAAGAAACTTTTTTCTGTTTTCATTTATATATAAACGTTTTGGAAAAATATTTTGAGTTTCCGGTCATTGAATGTTTATCCAGTTCGGCCCCAATACCTTACATGTGGTTTGAGTTTTGGCCGGCCGAACGATTGAGTTTTACACCCCTTATTTAGACAGAAGAAAGACGATGCCAGATTTCGATTAGTCTAGTTTAAATGTGTTTAATTTTTAAACTTGGTAAGTTTAGTTCAGATTAGTTTACATTACATCAGAATTAGTTTTATGTGTAGTTTAGTTTTAAATTAGTTTATATTAGTTAAGATTAGATTAGAATAATTTTAGATTCGTTTAGATTAGTTTAGATGAGTTTGTATTAGATTAGTTTTGTTTAATTTATATTAGTTTCGTTAAAATTAGTTAAGATTAGTTTAATTATAAAAATGTTTAGAAGTGTCCTGCTCCAATCCTCAGGACTTAGTTTTTTTCGTAGACTTGCCCCCCCCCCTTTTTCCCCTCTAAACTAATCTAAACTAAATTAAACTACATTACACATTCAGCCAAGGAATTTTGACTATATTTGACTAGATGAGAGAGGATCTGCTCCTTAAACCAGAGCAGGGACAATGTCTCGTAGTCACTGATGAAGAAGTTAGACGCAAGGATACTTACTGGCTCCTTACCTAATTTATCACCCGCATTGGTGTGGTTAGAGTGTGGACTGCTCTGCGCAAACCCCATAGGACTATGTTTTTCGTAGACTGTTTCCCTGCAATGAGTCATTCGGTTAGCTTAATTTAACATTAACCACAATCTAAACAAAACTAATCTAAACTAAATTAATCTGAAACTAAAGTAATCATACCTAAACTAACATAAAAAAAAAACTAAAATAATATGTACTAAAATTATTTTAAACTAGCTTAAAATCTTTTAAAGACTAAAATAATCTTTACCACTCTAACTAATCTTATCTACACTAAAATTAATGTCAACCAACCTAAATTAATTTAAAATCAACTCAGCTAATGGAACCTATAGTAATCCAAAGTGAACTTAACTGAAAGAAAGTTGATCGAGGGCTTATGTCACGCTGTTTGTTTGTTGTTGTTGTTGTGAGTGGTTATGTCATCCTAGTTGTTGTTGTTGTGAGTGGTTATGTCATCCTAGTTGTTGTTGTTGTGAGTGTTTATGTCATCCTAGTTGTTGTTGTTGTGAGTGGTTATGTCATCCTAGTTGTTTTTTTTAAGTGAGGAGTTATGGGCACACGGGTTTTTGTTGATGGGAGGAGTTATCGTCCCCTGGGTTGGTGTTATTGGGAGGAGTTATCATCCCCTGGGTTGGTGTTGATGTGTATTTTATTCCGTGACGTATTTGCTATTTTCCCTCTTTACAAAGAAAATCTTCTCAAAGTGTTCGACTCACGTAAAACTGTTCAAGCCACGTGATCCGTCCGAACCCCCCCCCCCACCAACCCCCCACCCCCCAAAAAATCAGCTTTTATTCTGCAGCCCACACTGTGCCTCTAGGACTCCTTTCTATCTGACATGACTGCAACTTCGACTCACGTAAATCTGTTCAAGCCACGTGA